TTCCTATATAGTTTAACAGTCAAACTACACAGTTCAGTAGCCATTCGTTATCACAAAATTCTTGTTGAACTTTGCCTTAGGATGTTCTACATAGTGCTTTGTCCGGTCCAACAAACGGTAGAGTTGAACTGCTCGCAGAGAAGTGGGTTCTTGAATAAGAATATGCCGATGCTGCAGCCTTGCTAGTTGACTAAACAGAAGGTTCAGCATGCTTTGGACAGCTCAGCGATCGAGGTATTCAAGCATGGTGTGTGGTTTGCACCGTCCAAGTTCATGGTGCTTGTACAAGACTGCCAGGAGCCTGCGCATACATTCACCGTTTGTGGCTATCAGCTGAAAATAATCCAAACCTTTGAGTGCCTCGGGAACTTGATCGTAGCTAGAGGTGGATTTGGGGAAGAGATCACCTCAAGAACAGGAAAAGCTATAGTAGCTTTGTCCAATCTGCAACACTTGTGGCGTCGGCATAAAATCCGACTCCCTCTTCCAAGGAAAGGGTGTATAACGTTACTGTTCACAATACTTTGCCCTGTCTTTGCGAGACCTGGCTATTCCGCACTGAGGGTGCTGATGAGCTTTCTGCATTCGATAACCGATGTTTTCGAAGCATTGATAGGAACATGGTAGGAACATGGGGTGAGCAATGACGATATTAGTCGTCGTGTGTTGTGTGCTGATAGTCGTTCCCTGAAAGAGGAACCCTCTATACGGCTTCCGGTAGCTCGGTCATTTTTCTTATACCTTTCCATCGTTTACCTCTGTTTTGTTTTGGTGCACTTTGGCGTTAAAGAAGTCGGTTTCGGTTTGTTGAAGACGAAGGGACGAGGATTGTTGTTGTTTAAGGTCTCAGAGATATAACTCAGAATAGAAATCAGTGGCGTAAATGCTGTCTGTTGTATCGTGTACCCCATAAAACAGAGAAACAAAAATATCATCGATAAGGTTGCATTTTTCTTCGCCTCATTTGCATTTGCATTTCAATCCCCGTTTTCCTAATAAATGAGTCTCTTTACAGCAAAGCCCATCTAGATTACAATGCCGTTTCTCACGTGTGTCCACTAATTT